TCTTTGGATATAGTTTATTCACTTATAAAATTGGTGCTCTGAGATGAGTAGTTCTGTTGACATTTGTGATTGTCTTATCATAACAGACTTATTTTGCTGATGGATAATTGTTTATTCATTGAACAAATAATGCGTTGATTATTGTCATTTTGCTAAGCTCTGCATTCAGTAGACAGCAAGACAGAGCTAGTCATTGTGGAGTGTAAGTGTGATGTGGGTTGTCATAATGGCAGGTGTAATGTGACCACACAGCAATGGCACTTAACCTCGTGTGGGAGGACTGGAAAGGCTTCCTAAAGAAAGTGGCTTTTAGATGAAACCTGAAATATGCCACTCTTGAGTCTTAGAGAAAATAGTGATTTTTTTCTTACCTTGACTACTGCTTCTCAGCTGTACTCCTCAGATCCTTTTTGTCTCTCAAAGTATTCATTCATTTGTTCATTCATTCATTCACCTGCTGATTGAATAACTACTATGTGCCAGACACTGTTCTAGGCATTTGAAATAATATCACTGAAACAAGTAGACAGAGATTTCTGCCCTTATGGGCCTTATGTTTTAGTGGAGTAGGGAGATGCAGAGAATAGACAATGCACATGATATATAAGTAAATGATAAGCCAAAATTCTTCAAAATGCAACCAGAGCGAGGCCCTTCTTTTCCTTGCCCATAGGCTGAAGTTCAGTCTCTTTAATGTGGCTTGTGAGGCTCTGCTTAACTGTAGCCTCGCTCTTCAGGCTCCAGCCATGCTGACTGTAAATAAAACTGGTTTGGTGAAAGGAGGTGAAAGAGAAGAGAGTTCCTGGTTGAGCCTGGCTGAACTAGGTGGGACGTGCAAGCGCTGGGGAGAGTGCCTGGTGTTTGTGGTGAAGGGAAAAGTACGAGGTGGACAGGGCCTGGGGCTGAGGCTGGTGGCTTAGGCAAGCAGGATCAACTACTGAAACTAAGTTTAGGAGTTTGAACTCAGTCTGAGGCAATAGAAAGTCATGAAAAGTTTATGTGGGTTTTGGGAATACTAGTTTATTTTGATAACATTTAATGCCTCAGAAATCGTTAATAAGATAATTTGAAAAATACCTTCAAGCATGGCTGGTTTAATTTTTAAACTATGAAAGTATGAAATATGAAATTAGGAGTTTTATGTTAAAAAAAAAGTTCAATGTATACCTAAGATTATACAACCTTAAGTAAAAGTTCCCCTTTTCTCCCTACTCTCAATCCTACTTTTGAGCAATAACTCAAGCTGAGTTTTTGTAGCTGTCCATACATAAATTTTCATGCGCATTCAAACGTGTATTTCTGTCTTAATGTAGATAAGGTCAGGCTATATGTATGTGCTACAAGTTAGTGTTTTCCTCACCATGTATAGTATATCCTGTATACCTTTGGAGTGTAAGAGTTATCCTCTTAAAAACTAATTCTGATTCATCATCCGCCAGCACACAACCGAAGTATTTGGTACTCTACACCGTATCCCATACGACCCAGCCAGAACAGGGCCATGCCTTTTACTTTTACTCATCTTGGCTTTTTCTGCCACTTTTTAAGTGTGTTTCAGCTTTAGCCTCATGGATCCTCTTTCAGTTTCTAGAGCATATTAAGTACGTTCCTAATCTAGGGTTTTGTACATGTTATTCCTTCTGTCTAGAATCCTTTTCCCCTAATCTTTCCAGGGTGGCTGGCTGATTTTATCCTTCGGTTTTAAATTTTATTTTAGAAGGGCTGTTTCTGAGCAGTCTATCTAAAACAGGTTCTTCCTCTCATTCTCTGCCTTAGTATTCTCCATTTCCATGTAGCATTTATTTCAATTTGCAATTGATTTGTTTGCTCTGTTTTCTGTTTATTAGGGTGTAATAGCTCCATAAGGGCAGAAACTGTATCATGAAGTGTTGCTGGGCAAATATTTATTGAATTCATGTATAAATGGATGAATAAGAACATACATACTAACCTCATTCTTTTTAAATGCTATGTAATATTCCATTTCATGGATTTGTGGTACCAGTACCTTATTGAAGGCCTATTAAATAGTTTTTCAGATATTTTTTCTTATCAAAACACCACCAACAAATTGAAAACAATATATTTCTTTATATGTCTCTCCGTGTGCATGCATGTGAGTATCTGTATAGGATAACTTCCTAAGAGCAAAATTGCTGGGTTAAAAGATATATATCCCTAAACTTTTGATTGGTAGATATGACAATTTCTTTTTTAAAAGATTGCACCATTTCCTACACCAATAGCGTGAGGAGTGCTTGTTGGCCTTTAAGTCACCACTTGGCCATTATCACACTTTAATTTGCTAGAGGAAAAGTGATATCTTGTTTTAATTTGCATTTCTGTAATTATGATTAAGGATATATTATCCTTTTGGATTTCTTTTTTTTTGTCTTTTTGTCTTTTTTCGTGACCGGCAACGGGATCACAACCCTCGGTGTTGCCCCCGCTCCTCGCTCAGCCAGTGAGCGGCTGGTCTGCATGTGGGATCCAAACCCTTGGCGGGAGCGCCGCCACTCTTCCCAAGCGGCGCCCTGCAGCAGTGCGCCACCGGGCCGGCCCTTTTGGATTTCTTTTTATGTGAACTTCTTTTTATATCCTTTGTGCATTTTTCTTGATGATCGTTGGTCTTTTTCCAGTTGAATTAAAGTTTTATTAAAAATTTTTTTCTACCTCTAGCCTTTTAGGGAGGTTTTACAGTGTGATATGTCACTTAGGGCCATTGAATTTGGACCTATGTGGGGCTTTTTATCCCTTCAGTAGTAATTTTATATAGCCCAATAGTTAAATTAAATGTGCTGAAAGACCATACTAGTATATTATTGAAACAGATATTAAAGTTTTTAATGTCTTATGAATAATATGTCTTCAATAAAGTTTTTGTGGATGAATGAGTGACAAGTGAAAAGTTAATATTTGAGGCAATTTGATTTTACTTGAAAGTTCACTTAACAGAATTTGATTTTCATAGTAAGAAAGCTTAAGTGTACTGATTATTTAAAAGGTAAGATTGTTTTGTGGCCGTATATAAAAGTGTTGGATTTGTGGCTGTTAAAGAATTTTTAGAAGTTTTGCTGTGTGTAAATATCTCTTTATAGGTACACACAAGACATCTATAATGTGTATATGTGAATAAGTAGCAAAATATGACTAAATGAATTCTGTGAATTATCTTTTAAGACTCTCCTGTTTTCTTAAGGTAACAAATTTTTTTAGATAGCACTTTATTTTCTCTCAGAATATCTTTTGTAAATATACTATTACATGTTTGAAAGAAAAGAAATGTTAAAAGTTTCTTTCTAGGCTTATTATAATCCAGTCTTCATCAGCCATCACTCTTCCTGTATTTTGTTCCAGAGGCACTAATTGTTCGCATTTGGCAGGTTTAACACTTCCTGACAGAGAGGCTATTAAGGGGAAGTATTCTCCAATAACTGTCACTGGCTGGAACAAAGAACCTTCCAACTCAATGTGTGGAAACCACTAACATTCTTAAATGACCCTTTCCATGGATTTTTATCCCTTTAAGCTAAAATTTGGAGAATGTAGGGTCAGCGAAAACAGCAAGGTGTAATAAAGCAGTAAACCTTGATTTTGGGGGGTATAGGATGGGAGGTATAGATTTATCTCTGACTTGAAAACAATTGTTATTTGGAAAATCTCATTAGCAGATGTGACTGCTTGGAGTAAAAAAAAAAGACTTAAAACTGATGTCGCTTTCAGGACTGCTTTGAACTTAACAAGCACCTATTTGTGGAGCAGACTGGCTAATGAAAGGAAATTAAATTTTTCTGACAACTTCCCCTGCCAACGTCCTTATTCAGAGAATGTTATTAGGTACTGAAGACTTTTAAGGAAGATTTTTTTTTTTATTAGACATAAATGAACTAGTTATAAACATCCCTCCACCCCTCTCTTTTTGGGGAGGATTCTGACATGTTTGCTCTACATTTTAAATGTATCAGCTTAAAAGCTTAAGAAATACTGGGCTTCCCCTCAATATTTTAAACTTGTTTTCTAAAAATTTAGGCGTAATTATCAGCCAGTGGATTCAGAACACTATTGTCAGTTTCGTAAGATAGTTTAGTTTGTGACACTGAATTATGAAAAGGAATTAAATTTAGAAAGAAGCTTGGTATTTGGGGAAATGTATCAGGAATGTCCTGTTGGGTGTGTTAAGTGAGAGTTAATGATCAACAAAATGACTTAGATTCAAGGGAAGTTTTTGTCTTTTTAGCTACTTAGAGGTACAAGTGGCATTTGGTTGATATTCAGCAGTAACTAATCCTTGTATTGACAAACTCCTACCCTATATTGTTTAGGAAGCTGTTTTCTTTCCTTGGCTTTTTGGAGTTTTCCCCTCTACTACTTGGTTCAATGATTTTAAAGTTTTAATTTCTGTAACAAGATACAACTGAAAAGAGAAAATATGTACCTGAAAAAAGAAATAAAAATTAAAACTGAAAAGTTAATGGAGATTACCAAAGGGATTTTTTTGAACAGTTGGTAATTCCTGTAGATACTGGAGATTTACTTTTTTTATTTCTCAAAAATTGATCCAGCTTCTCCCAAATAATAGAGAATCAACTCCCCCTGCTGACAGAATCTAGGAAAATATGACACATAACTATCAGAGAGACAGAAACAAGCTGGCTGCAGACAAGCTTTAATGATCTGATTTATGATTCAGTATTGATGTAAACATCTAGATTCTGCCATTAAATTCCGGCAACTGCACCAAATCATTGGCAATTCTGGTAGTGCTTCCTGCCAGCTCAGTTCGAACTGCTTTGAGTTTCTTAATATAATAACGATGAGGTAGGATTTACATTCCACTTATGGTATTAATTTTACATTTCTCTGAATGAAAAGGGTTAGAAGGTTGTAAAAATGAACATTAAATGAATCAGAGGAGACAGTAGTGCAATATATGACTGCCCTAAAGACATTGTGCAATGCCTTATGGGATTAATGTTGAGTCTCATTTCCTGCTTTTACAGGATGCAGATGAAGCTGTCAGAATTGCAAGGGAAATTGGTAAGTTCTTAAATTAACTTTGGTAGGGTTTCTGTGTCTTTCAACAGATATGGTTGAGTAAACATGTAATAAGTAATTACTATAGAGCAAATAATATTTTAACAGTTTTAGCTTTCTGAGTACTTGTCATTCTGGACAAGTCGAGATCACCATATTCTATTATTAAAGTGGACTTTATCAGCCGAATTACCATATTCTGTTATTAAAGTGGACTTTAAAGAGTAATTTGACCTTAACTCTAGCTCTTTTGTAAAGTGAAATCACTGGCTAATTAAAAGAAGGAATTGTCTTAAGAATTCTTAAGATTGGATATAATGTAAATGTATATGTATGTAATTGAACATGGTTTGTTAGAGATAAGCAAATATAAAAGGTATATTTGCCAAGATATTTCAAGTTTTTGCCTTTTCCTAAGATGTTAAATATCAACTTAATAATCTTGCAAGGGAAGAGAAATAGAATGTGGGAAAATAGAACTGAATCTCCTAAACTGGAGTAAAGGGTAAACTGTAGGATATTTTAATGGCTGTTTTGCTGGACTGTTTTAGGTATAATTGTATTGGGCATTGCTTCCCAACTTTTTAATTTCAAAAATATTCCTGGTGCTCATGAGAAATATTGCATTTTCAGTATCTGCTAATTGAGAAAATGTGTAAGGGCATACTGTTATGGTTTAGCAATGCTATTAAGTAACTTTACAGTTTTATTAATCAAATGCATATTTGTATACATTTGACAGAAATTTGTAGGTAAGTAAGAGAAATTAGGCGATGCTTGGTAGTCACAGCATCTTCTTCGCATTTCTGCACTCCTATTGGAAAGTATTTGATTTGGTGAAGTTTACATAGTTGTGATAGGAAGAAATAACTTATTGGTCTGAAAGTGAGAACTTGCATGACTGAGTATATTCTCTGCAAATGAGACAAGCTAGTTAGCAGTCCCCGCACCCTGCACTGCCCCTCTTTTTTGGCTTTGACTCAGGAAGCTTAGCAGCTCTTTGGTGATCTGAAAAAGCTATCTGACTTGTTGCATCCCTGTTTCTAGCTGGGTCTAGCTAAATTATTTGGGTTTTGTTCATTATTAAGTGTATTTTGCTGTTTGTTTTACAAAAATTGCTCTTATTGATATAGGTTTTGGATTCAAGACCAGAGTGTACAAAATTTTATCTGACTACATTTCTTTATTAATTGTTTCTTCAGAATCATCAGTATTTTCAAAAAGCATTTCAGTACTTAACTTCACAGGAAGGTTTGCTAGATTGCTGAATAAATTGGACTACACGGAACTGATTCTGTGGTTTCTTTATTGAGAAGGTCGAAAGTTTCTACCTGTGGTTTGAAATCACTGACATTCCTTATTGCCTAAGAGGCATGTAACATACATACTGGCTTTTTAGGAGACTTTCCTAAAATAGTTTAGTTTTATTCTATCATATACTTTTAAATTTATAAGGTCCTTTTCCTAGTTTTAGTTTAGATATTATTATTATCTACCTAATAGGACATAAAAGTGCTATTATCATAATAGTATCTGTGTAAAGAAGAAAATATTCAGAGGAATTCAAGGAAATAAAAAGGGATTAAAGACAATCTATAATTACATTTCTGTGCCACATTTGAATTATGAATTTTCAACTCAGTATTTCCTTTGTATGAGTGGCAGGCTGCATATCACTTTGCTTGCTTTCATGTCTTTATTTCCACCTTTTTTTATAACCTGTGATCTTTAAGATAACTAGTTAATCATGATGGGCCTCTGACCAGTTCTTATCACTTTGCTTTCCTTCCTCAATATTTTAATGCTGTTCTTTACCTTTTTAGTTTTTTTTTCTGCTGAGTTTACCTAATTCAATCTAAGTTTTTTTTTTCTTTATACTTGGGCATGTCCTTTATGGTTCCTTTCTCTTTCCCATCTTTCTTCGAATTCTTCCCCAATTACTCCTCATTTGTGAAATAAATGATCGTAATCATGGCTATTAAGTATAAGAGTGCTAGTGTTTTGCCTATACTGAAAGAAAGGGAAGCCATAAAATTTGAGGTGAAATAAAACATAATAAAGAACCAGGGTCATCAACTTTTATAAAGCTTTTGGAATTTCCTTGCATCCCCCTTCTGAATCACCACAGAAACCTCCCATAAAGCCTTTTCCTTCAAGTGCTAGCTTCTAAAATAAATCAAATTACGTATTATTAAAGTCGCTTGGTTTTCTGTGTTGTTTGATGATTCATCAGCTTTTTCTACTAAATTTATTGAGATATATCACATTTTAACTACATTATAATTTCAATGGGCCTTTGTGAGTTCATCGAAAAAGTGAACTGAACATCGATTCTGTGGGATAATATGCTCTCAGTTTTAAGCAACCGAAGTATAATAAACCTTCAAACCTATCCATTTGTAAGTTGCTGATTGTCCATGTGTCATACCTATTCAGAGATTCCTCTCTTTTACTTCTTTCTGTGTTACATGGTGAAAATGAAGTTGATTCTGTTTTATGTGGTTCCCCCTCATAATCACTCATGTCTTTACTTCTCTTCTGGAAACAATACTATGCTGCCAAAGTAGGAAACTGTGTTGAGTTAGGTGCCTTTTACATAATAGTAGCTTCCGTTTATAGAGCACTTTTCTAATGCTAATTCTCAGGTTTAATTATTTTTACTTACATTAAAGAAAACTAAGGGCTAGAAATGGCAAGTAAGTTGCTCAGGGAAGGTCACAGAGCTATTGAGTGGTGGACCCTCATTTAAATTTAGGTTTATTTGGCTCTAAGGACCACAGATTTTTCATTATGCTTTGGCTAAACTAATGGGAGTAGAAGATGAAAGGTAAAATTTGAGCCACCACTTTGTGTGAAATACTGTAAGGCACTTAAGCATGTTATATGTGGAATTAAAGAAGCAGACAGCCTCTTATCATTGACAGGTGAGAGACAATTAAGACTTAATATGTTACTTCTATGTGTTTATTTTTTTGGACTACTTTGTCTCTCATTCTCACTCCTAACTTTTTCCTTTGACCTCTCTAAGTTTAGAGATACAGGACTATTGATCTCCAGTTTATCTTTAACCTCAGTGGTAGACAGCAGTAATCAGTGAACCTGATTTCCATTTAAGTTTGATCTTTTTACTGGACCAAAGGTCTTTAATTCAATCAAATCAATATTGATTCTTAAAAGAAAAAAAATTGTAAATGTAAAACCTGTCTTTTAATGACTTCCAACTTATTCTGATTTTTCCCCCTTTGCTTGTCTTCTCAAAATTACAAATCATACACAATTAAAAAAACATTTTTTCGATCCTCAAGTCCTCCATATTACAAACCTGCTTTGCCCAGATTTTTATATCTAAGTGAAATGTTAACCCATTCACTCATGCCAAAGCCCTGGATGCCTCTTTTGCTCATCATCCAATTGTAAATCTATCAACAGATACTGTCAGTTCTTCATTAAAAATGTTTCCCATTTTCTCTACTCACTATCTTCATTACCACCACTCTCCTCCAAATTACCATAGTCTTTTGCAGAGACTATGACAATAGTTTCTCTACTTCTTTTCTTAAATACTTCAAAGCCATTCTTCATATAGCTGATAGAGTACCATTTGAAAACTCTAAAGAATAAGGACACACCTCATTTCATCCCACCCCATCCCTGCTTTAAACCCGCTAATGACTTTCCATTGCGCTTAGATAAAACCACAGTTCTTTACCCTAAACTACAAAGTCCGTGTGATGTGGCACTTGACTTTCTCTCAAATCTCATTTTACACTGCTCCCTTCCTTACCTCCTGTACTTTAATTGCATTGGTTTACTTGAACACACCAAATTTCAGGGTGTTGGGATAAGATATGGGGGGTGAGCAGAGACAGAGGGGACCTGGAAGACTCTTGCTGATGTCTTCACATGGATAACTCCTTGTAGTCCTTCGTGTCCTGGCTTAAATATCATACCCTCAAGAGAAGATGCCCTAATGTTGCCACCCAGTCCTTGTGGTCTTATAACTGTATTCTAAATTTCTGCATAGTTCTCTGACTTACAGATATTTTTCTTGTTAGTAACTTTTCCCCCAATATTTTATTTTGAAAAATTTCAGACACACAACATTCTGAAATAATTTTGAAATGTATACCTGTATACCCAACACCGGGATTCCACTATTAATCTTTTGCTAGATTTGCATTATCCCTTATCTGTCCATATGTTAATCCATCTTATTTTTGCTGTGTTTTGATGTAAATTGCACATACCAGTACACATCCCTCTAAATACTTCAACATACATGTCTTTAACTAAATTCTGCATTTGTAGAGTTTTATTCTGATGCAAAATTTGCATACAATAATATAAGCAAATCTTTTCTATATTGCTGATTTTGACATATGCATTAATCTGCATAACTCCAAACCCCACCAAGGTATTGAACATACTGCCACCCCAGAGTTCCCTTGTGCACCTTTCCAGTCAGTCTTTACCGCTGTCCCCCTATCCCCCCACCTCCGGAGGCAGCCTGTGCTAAATTTTTATACTAAAGATTAAAGATTGAAAAATTGAGATAAAATTTAAATACTATAAAATTCAGCCTTTCAAGGTATACAATTCAGTGGTTTTAAATATATTCACAAGGTTGTGTAATCATCACTCCTGTCTAATTCCAGACATCTTCATTGCTCCCAAAAGAGACTCTGTAGCCATTAGTATTTACTTCTCATTCACCCTCCACCTAGCTGCTGACAACTACTAATTTACCTTCTTTCTGTCTCTATGGATTTACCTATTCTGGATATTTTATATAAATATGAACTTTTGTGTCTAGCTTCTTTCACTTAATAGTGTTTTATGGTTCATCCATGTTCTACCATGTATCAGTATTTCATTCCTTTTCTATGATTGCATATTCTTTCATGGTCTATACCACATTTTGTTTACCCACTCATCTGTTGATAGACACATGGGTTGTTTCCACCTCTTGGTTATTGTAAATAATGCTGCTATGAACATGTGTG